CTAGCCGTATGGCTGACACGCTACGGGCCCTACTAATCACTCCTGCAATTATTGCCGCCATCGTGGCCGCGTTCATTAGGAATCTTACCGAGAATCGGGAAAATTACTTCAAATCGTTTGTGGAAAAAATAGAATGTAAAACATCAATCAAGTGTTCGAGACGTCTCGGAAGCGAAATGCGTGGGCAAAAATGAGAAACCACTAAACATGCTCCGAGCGAGCGCAACTGGCAACAGAAAGTTTTTCACTCCAATTTTTCTGGCTCCCGACAAGTCCGCATTTCCTCGTTCATTTATTTCCCAATTTAACCATAACAAAGTGCTACCGCGCGCAAACTCTCCCCATGCATCTCAATACAGAATAAAATACCTAATAATGTGATAATAAACGAACCATCTCTTTTAGTCACATTCCGATCGAGAATCGATTGTCCTACTGACAGAGATACAGAGGGAGGGAGATGATATAGGATCAGAGAGGATGAAAGAGTGAGACAGGGTGAGAGAGTGTGAGAGGATGAGATATGGTGGGATAGGGTGAGCTAGGGTGAGCTAGGGTGAGAGTGAGTGAAAGAGGGTGAAAGGGGGAAAGAGAGAGTCTGTGTGTGCGCGAAAGACAGAGAGAGAGAGAGAGAGAGAGAGAGAGAGAGAGAGAGAGAGAGAGAGAGAGAGAGAGAGAGGAACGGGTAAGAAAAGAAAAACAAGATATTCCGTTTACTCGGAACAGTCACTCGCCCCTTTGTAGAAATACGAGTGTTCACAAAATTTATTCATCTGCTCGTAGGATCGTACAGTCGTGCGCGTAGAGCCAAGAAAGAAAAAGAAGAGCCGAGGAACTCGAGTTATAGATCATGTTTAAGCAGGACTTAGTATTCAGGATTTAAACATTTTTTCCGGCCATCCGTCAGGATAATGTTTTTCTTAGAAACTCCCAGGGCAGCCGCCATTCATCTTCTAGTGCGCATCTAGCTTCTTTGGCGTCGATTCATACTTCGGACAGGCAATATACTCGGCAGTCTCTCTTGTCCCTCCGTTTCTGCCAACCTAAATTCACTTTGCCCTTACCCTCTTATTATGTCCGACACCTTATCCAAAACCTCGGCACGGCCTACGACTAAGACACTTGTAGTCAACTTATTCGATGCCTCGCTTCTATCCCTTTACTACTTTTACCACGTCTGTTCTAAGAAGAAAATATCCAAGTATCAAGCAGCCCTAGAAATTATGAGAAACATGAGAATTTTCTAAACGACATGGCGATTTGAGGATTCGTTCTCCTTGTTTTTCGCATTTCTTGAATTGCAAATCGGACGACGCAGAGAACACGTGGCAGATGATTTAAAGGATATGAAAAATCTCAGCTCGAGACACGAATGACGCGAGAATAAAGCTCTACAGAGAATTTGGGGGAATGACGGGGCGCGGTACGCGTGAAGAAAGACGACTAGACGAAGAACCAAGAGAAGATATAAGAAATGATGGGAAAAGAAAAAAAAAGAGGGGAAAAAGGAGAACAATGGGCGGCACACGTTGCGAATATTTGTCCCGCTTGCGAAAACTATGTGAATTACAGAGTCAACGGGCGAGACCGGTGATGACGAAACGTCTCCTCGACATCCGGAGGAGTGCTCGAGATTTTTTCTCCAGCTTTTTTCTGCCATCTTTTCTTTCTCTAACTCGTCGGAAAGATAGAACGAAAATGGAAATGATTTTTAAGCTGCCACGAAAATTGATTTGACGTTGTCTTTGCGGTTGTTACTGATGAGTTGGCTGACATCCAGCCGGCTGAATATGCTTTCTGTAACATTTTCCTATTCCGCTATACGTATTCTCCGAGCAATTTGAATAGTTTTAAGTCATTGGTAAACGAGCATGCCTCTCGCTGCCCGCATACGGAGAATGGGAGGACACGATATAGAGGAAGGAAGTAAAGTCCATTATGGAAGAAGATTTGTAACGGACGAGCTGGTAGTACGTGGCCATTGAGCACCAATCAATCGGATATTCGACTAAAGGGAGTTGTTCCTTCTATCGGACGGCTGGCATCCTTCAGGCGTCCAGGGAAGATCCGTTAATTAAAGGATTATTTATTTATCCGAAATTCGGAGGCTTTTATACCTTGATCCTGGAAAATATCCCTGAGTATTCCAAGAAAAGAAAAAAAAAGTCTAATGCCCTCTAGGTATTCACTGATATCCGTTCAACAGGACAAAGTTCACTTTCCGATTCGATTTCCGGAGAATCGTAGATGCCGCTTCTCAGGATCTGCCGAACAGGATCAAAATTCCCATATGTATATATGTATATGTGTATCGCTCGATACTTCCTCACTTGATTTTCATGGCTGTCGTTCCAGCCGGTTTTGTATTCCGGTGACTAGCCCGATGCTCGTGGGGCTTCGTCAGAGCAAATTCCTCTGAAATCTCTCACCTTGTCTCTTTCTCAGCGAATGTCATTTCAATTATACCAACGGATTGGATTGCCTCGCGATCAACGAGGAAACTCTCGCCCTTCTATTCCCGGTGTGCGTAGAAATTCATTAAAAGGAGAAAAAGGACACGCTGTCCAGCCGCGTTTTCATTGAACCAAGTGCATTTAAAATAGGTAACTGTCAGCACGAGCTAAATTAGTTTCAGTGAAGTCATCGGGGGTGCACGCGACACTCACCGATGCACGAATGCAAAGCGATCGACTCAATGCGCAAATCGACAGGCACCGACCACCCCCTTCAGTCGACAGACCGCGTTATACTCGACCGATGTATTCGAGCGTCGAACAGACCTGCAGCCCAGAGAGAATAGCCGCTGCTGGGCTGTGCTTCTCCGACAAGATTCGCAAGGAATATCCTGTGCAATAATGAGACCCAGTAGTAACTTTAGTTTTGACGATGGCCGCGGAGGAGGACTGGAGGCTGTAGGAGGGCTGTAGGAGGGCTGTAGGAGGGCAGATGAACTCGGGACCATCTAATCGCGGCAGACTCCGCCGTACATTCCCGTAGAGGAGCAAGCTAGCTTTACATCGTAGCTGACACAAGCGTATCTCAGGGTCGCTTCATCAGAGGCGTCCGCCCCTCTAATGTTTATAGAGGCCTCTGGGCTTCTTGTCGTCTCGGGCATAAACCGTCACGGACGAGACACTCCTTCTCTTAGTCTCTTTATTCCGCGGCTATCTGCGAAGATAAGGCCAACGCGGAATAACGCCTCTTTATTATACACAGTAATAGGTGAAGTTTAACCCAGATCTTGGCCTCAAGACCTGTACTAACGTTGCGACAGCTTAACCACTCATCCTCCTCGTCCCAGACTCTAGT